TAATTTGTTACAGCAACAGTAGAAACACGCTCCCAGGGCCACTGTGAAGACGAATGAGGCCCCGAGCAGTGGCCTTGCCTCGCCTTCGGGCTGCAGGCGAGCAGGTTTGTCAGACGAGCACTGTGTCACACCCGCGGGAACAGTGGGTCCCTCTCGCTGTCTCTTTTGGCCTCACCTTTTCCAGGTTCAGGGGCTCAAGATGAGAGAAGTGGCCTCCTCTGAGGAGAGCAACCAAGTCTGATGTAAAGTCATCTTCCCCCAACCCAGGTGGGGCTGCTTGCTATGCCCCAGGCCCAGGTGCGGTCCCTCAAGGCCACGCTTTTCCAGAGCGACTGTGGAGAGGTAAAGGGTGCCGCCATGACGTTCGCAGCCGGACAGCCCGTGGTGACCAGGGTGGGCCTGTGGTTACTGCTTGTTCAGAAGTCAGGGACCTGGATGCAACCCTGATTGTCCCGGATGGTATGAAGCATAATTTTGCTCATAGGTTCAAGGTTATCCTTTGTGGCCCAAATCAGATTGCCTCTACTCGAGTCCGTGTACTCATTAAAAAATAATAACAGAGCTTTCTAGCCCGGGTGGCCCTGAGAACGTAAAGATTCTTGAAAGGAAAGGTCCCTGTCACCACATTTGTCTGTGTGGACAGATGAGTGTCTCTTACTGACCATCACTGTCCCCTGCAATCCCTTTGTCCTCACTAGATTTCAACCCGGCCAGAGGGAGAGTGGCTAATGCTGTGTAGACAATAAATATGTCTGTATACAGTCCATGAGGTTCCACTGCCTTCAGGGGAGCCTGTGTCTAATGCTCCCTTTGCCTTTGTGTAGAAACCGGGCTATCAGAGGAGATTTCAACTTGACCTATATGGCCAAGGAGTGGTATAGGAATAGCTGTGATTCGGTTCCTGGGGAGGAAGCTGTCCCCTTTCCCCTGGATTCCTGTCCACCATCACGGCTCGTCAGGTAGACGCTGGCTCTGGTTAAGGGTTGGGGGCTTATGAGCGCTGGTAAAACTGCTGATGAGTTGATATTCCCAAATATTAATCTGAAGTTTAAAGAAAAGAAGAAGGCAACAGCGCCCCCAATGAGGATGGAATAATTACACATCTCCCTGCCTGGAATTCAGAGCAGATTTGGGGCTGCGTGACATCCATCACCAGGGAGATTATGCGGGTGCTGACTCAGTGAGAACTCCCCACAAACTCCCTACATCATCTTTTGACTCCTTCACTTAAGAAAGTGATGACTTTGCAGGAACTGAAGACATGGCAAGTGGAGGGTCTGGGCTCTACCTGGAAGGCCCACTGCTTTACACCTCGGTCTACGGCCCCACTGCTTGGACCTCGGGATCACAAGCCTTTCCCAGAGGCTTCAGCACAGATCTGTGAATCACCCGACCTGGCTTGCAGTCCTGGGAGGATACACATCGTTATCCTGAAGTCAGTGGTGTAGTTAAGGGTGGGACAACTATACGTCCTAGGTTTTAAATACTCCACGCTATGGTACCTGAAGGTCATTACACTGATCTGAACACTCCAAGCTTCATCACCCAGACTGCCTCGACTCTGGCCGAGGCACAGCAAGGCATGTGTCTCAGGTCATCTTGGATACGACAGTCTAGACTCCAGAGGCGAGAAGCTCTTACTGCATCTCAGGCTGCAGCCTCTGTGGGCAACATCTGCTGGCCGGAAGCAGAGCTGAGACAGGCAGGTGTCAGGACTGGATGAAGGAGTGGATAAGGCAGCTGGTTATAGATTGGTCTCTCTGGTTCGTCTGCGAGTGCCCTGAAGTTAGGAGCTTCGTGTCCACAGCCGCATTGGCTGATGGTGCGTGTCCACACTGAGTGGGATGGGGTCAGGGCAAGGGCAGGAGTTTTGGAGCTGGGGAGATGGGCTTCAGAGGCCAGCTACCCGCTGTCAGTCGTCCTATCAGGACTGCTTCTGCATCGTAAAAACATCCCCAACCGCGTGTGAGGTTGTTAGGATGACTAATAAGTTACTGCCTGAGGGAGGACCAAAGCCCAGCCCAGGAAAAAATGAAAGAGTCCTTTCCTCCCCTGCAGAACTGAGATGCTCTGATGTGTTAAAGCAGCACAGACACAGGAAAATGAGGAGGAAGGATGGTTTTAGAGGCGGAGGAGAGGAGGCAGCCTGCAGAGGGCTATTAGAGGATGCTGATGGGGTAGAAGACGTGCTGCATCTGAGGGCATCCAGTGCACCTCGACAGAGCGTCAGGCAGCCACGGAGGTCAGTGCTGGAGCCCGGAGTAGAGCTGGGCTGGTGGGCTAGGGGTGACTCCTCAGCATCAAGCGAATGTTGGGGTCAGATGAGGAAGCAGTGTCAGCAAGGCACTCAGAGATAGCGCCTTGGGGTGGAGAATGCCAGAAGCCCAAAAGGAAGGTGGAGAGGAGAACGGTACTTTCTGAGGTGGGGTCTGTGCATGATGGTGGCAGAGGAGGGGGGTGCCAATAGATTCAGAGAGAAGCAGAATGCTGCGTGAGGGAAGCACAGGGAGAGGAACGGGTTTCAGGGGCGGGAAGGGTGGGTGGCACTGAGGCACAGGTTGGAGAGATTTGCTTTGCAAATGAGGAGGGACGTATGTCTCATTTGAATACATGTAAGGAAGAGACCATAGCTGAAATGTATGCATATTTTTGGAAGAAAGCCGGCACAGAATTGGTAGGTTATATCCAGTAAGCAAGGCCTCCATCTCTGGTTTTGAGATGGATGAAAGGGTTTTCCCTTTTGGGAACTGAAAACCCTGTTTTGAGGTCCTGGAGAGGAGCTGATGATTGGAGCCCAGTAGACCTGAGCCCTGGAGGCTAAATTCACACATGTCCCATCACAATTCCCTGCACCGAGCCCTCCGCCCCTTCGTGCATCACTGCAGGGTGGAGAGCTGGATGTTGGCCGTCAGCTAAGCTCACTCATCATCCCCCGCCAACGCCAGGCTGGTGCCCCCGATTCCAACCAGGCAAACGCCAGGGCGCCGTGTATCATGGATTTCTGTGGAGTCAAAATCTCAGGTGTTAAGTACCACAGATTTCAACGGCCTCCAGTGGCAGAAGCAGGAAGCTGTGAATCATCTAGGAAGTTGGAAGTGGGCACAGGTGGGCGATGCCGTTGGCGTCCACGTCTTAAAGAGACGGCCTGCAGAGGAATGTCTTGTAACTGCTACTGAGCTTTCCAGCACACTTAAGAGTTTTCACAGTTATTCTTGAAATTCCATTTCATTTGATGTCAACGGCAATCCTGTGGAGTACTTTTATGATCTTCATTTTACGTGTGAGGAAACCCGGCCTCAACGAGGTCAAGCAGGTTTCCCAGGGACACGGCTAGTGGGTTACTGCAGACCTGGGGCCACGACCCCAAAGCCAAGTTCTTCCCGTCTCTCCCCGACCCTGTGTTCTTGCCATCATTTGACAGCACTCTTGAGACGTCCGTTCTTCATCCTAGTGTCCACGTTGCCCCCACTCTGAGGGCAATCCGAGCTTGCTGGAAGTGAGCTGTAGCCTGTCTGGGAGGGCACCTGGGCAGAGGGCGACAGCTGTCAAGGCAGCCTGGCCTGCAACTCTTCCAGGGACATGGGGCAGGAGGCAGGAGGAGACAGGTAAAGGGTGACCGAGGACAGGCGGGTATGAGAGCAGGTGAAGATCAGGATGAAGAATCTGTGTCCAGGCACTTGAAGAAACCCAGGGAAGTGGGGCCCAAGGTGCTGGAGGGTGCAGGGCATGTCGTACATGGTGGGACAGCACTGGAATACCCGCGTCCTCATTTCCTGCTCATGGACACCCGGGCCGCTTCCAGGGGCGGTTGCCCATGGGCACGGGATTTTCCTGAGCCATCCTGTCCTCCTCTTGCTTGAGCTTGACGGCAGAAGCACAGGCTAAGCAAGCATTTCAGATGGGCAGCCAGTGGCGTGCAGCGAGGAGGCTGCCCTGGGTGCAGTCCGTAAGGGGCTACACCATCTGTAGAGGAGTTAACAGCGATAATAAAACCCCTCACAGTGTTCAGCAATTCCAAACCAGGGCAGTGATGAGAGATACTCCCCCACCACCCCTGAATTCCGCTGCTCCAAGCCTGCAGGAAGCAGCCCCGAGGGAGAAATGCACCCGCCAGCCTAGTCCCAACGTTAGCAGAGTAACTCCACCCCTCCCCGCTCCCGGAGGTCCCTGCAGCAGCAGCCAACGGGAAAAAGGGGTTTGTGTGCAAATCCCCACCCAGGGGAGCACCTCCAACAAGAGCTTCGAGGCTTCCAGCACTTTCTATGGCTGCTCCCAGCTCTCGACTACGGCTCAGACTTCCTCCTCCGGGCTAAGATTCAGGGGCCCTTGCAGCGGGTAGAATTGCCGTCTCAGTGTCGGGAGGCTCTGTCCTGGACACCTTGTCCAGGTGCCTCCTGGGAACTGGTCCTCTCTGTCGCCTCGAGGCCATGTGGCTTGCTAGCCTGTCAGAGTGGCAAACGCACTTACTCCATGACAGCCCCTTCTATCTGGACCTTGACCATCAGAAAATTCTCCCATAGTCTCCAGTGGAAATTCTTTCTCCTCGGTCCTGGCTCTAACCCTCTGGGATCATATGAGCTCGTCTAATCCATCTTCCACGTGCTCAAAAGCAGCTCTCCCATAGCCCCCAGGCTTCTCTTGCCAGGCTAAAGCATGACAGCAGTGGCCCCCGCCGTGCGGGCCCCTGAGTGTGTTCCAGAGGCCTCCATGAGGGCAGCGAACAGGTGTTGATTTTTGTGTGCTCCTCCCTGCCGCCCACTGTTTCCCTGTTAACTCAAACCACCCTCCCAGGTGTGAGTTGTTACCAATCCTTGTTGTGGGCCGGGAAGCCGAGGTTGCCGGGCCAGTGGAGCACGCTGGTAACCGCCGCACCCGAGGCTGGGTGCGGCCGGCCCTCCCCGCTCCCTGGGATTCCCTGGCGCCTGGAGTCTCAACGCTGCCATCCTGTGCCCCTCCGTCCAGGAGGCAGAGCAGTGATGGGGGGCATGGCTGTCTTGCAGAAATCTCCTTCAGGGTGTGGATGTGCGGGGGCAGCCTAGAGATCGTCCCCTGCAGCCGAGTGGGCCACGTCTTCCGGAAGAAGCACCCGTATGTTTTCCCAGATGGAAATGCCAACACGTACATAAAGTAAGTGTTTGCTGCAGTGGCCGAGGGCTTTTGTGGTGATGGGTTGCTGCTGCCCTGGGTTCTCTGGGAGGTCGCCTGCGTGTTCTGGATGGACAGGGGCTGTGAGTCCTGCTCGCTGGGCTGCTGCCTGAGCAGGAGAGGTCAGGCCTGCCCGTCCAGCTCAGGCTGGAAGCCCCAAGGCTGTTCTCCACTGTTGGCTTCCAAGGCTTCACAAGGCCCCACACGTAGCCTTGGGGGCTCCAAGTCACTGGGCAGCGTCATCCTGCAGGGCTCAGGGCCCTGGGTATTTTGGGTTGTTTGGGGTGGGGGAAGGGTGACCGTTTTGCCCCTGAGTTCTAGAAGATCCGCTGCTCCCACCTTCAGGCTGGGTCATCAGGGGAAAGGCCCTTGGGAAGATTCAGGAACGGGGAGGCACAAGTAGATACAACCCGCCTGACTGCTCCAGGGCCTCGAGGGTGCACAGAAGCAGCCAGGCTGGCACAGGCCCTGCGGCCCTGGGCTCCTTTCCTGGGACTTGTCATCTCCTGCCTGGGGACAGGACGAAGATCCTGGGGTCTCAGTGACCCAGCGGTGCCCACTTGCCTATTCCTGCTCCCTCCCTCCTTCCATACGCCCTTCTGCTTTCCGTGATTTTTTTCTTCAACCTTTCTCCTTTTTTAAAAAAATAATTCCTTACACCTCTTTCTCCTTTTCTTCTTCTGGTCCTCCAGCTTCGTCTCCCCTTGTCTCTTGTCACTTGACAGCTCACTCCCCATTTATTTCCACTTTGCCCTTTTTTTCTCTCATTTGGTCCATTTGGGGGAAGCGCCTCTTTTGGTGTTTTGCTTCCCCTGCGGTGTTCTTCTCCTCGTCTGGGTTCTCCCGTCCTCGGTTTCTCACACGTGTGGACAGCTGTGGGTGTGGACAGGTGTGGCGGCGTGATGGGCTTGAACAGGGAGAAAGTTGACCCCATGCTGGGCAGGGCAGGGCAGTGAGAACCCAGTCAGCAGGGACAGGAACAAAGGCAGGGCTGCCTGGGCTCCGGGCTTTTACAGGGAAAGGTGATCTGGGGGCGCCTGGCACAGGAAAGCGGTGGGGCTGTGATGGGGAAAGGGGCCAGCCTGGGAGTGAGGGGGCAGAGCCTTGGGCTCCAGAACGTTCCTCGTGTTTGAGACTGGGCCCTGGCCAGCGGGCATCCTGCGTGCCACCAGCGGGTCATTGGAGGGGAGGGAAATGTGGGGCAGTGTCTCCTCGGCAGCTTCCAGTTTGCCGGTGGTTAGGCCAGTGAAGGGAGGTGGCAAGGCTCTGTTAGCTGCCTTCCGAGCACCAAGAGCTGGGCTGCGTGTGCATGACTCCTTCCAGGCTCACGGGCTGGAAGGGCGTGCCGCGCTGCGCTGTTGAATGCCTCTGTTCCACACAGCGGCAGAAATCTGGAGGGGCGTGGCCTTTCTGCTGAGACCCCGAGTCCACGCCCTCGGGGAGCAGGTGCTGCTTCAGCCCTGCTCCTGGCTTCAGATTGTTTTCCCACATCCTCTCTTCCTGGTACCCCTGCCTCCTGGACAGCTGAGCAATGACATCCTCCGTGTGGGTCTCTGTCTCTTTTTCTGTGACCTTGGAGGTCAAACTCAGAGCAAATAGCCGATTTTTTAAAAGCTTCCGAGTCCTGGCAAACGTTTGACCGAGATGGCGTGATTGCTTAATTCTTTACACCTGCACCAAGCTAATCACGTGGCCTGTGGGAGCCCGTGTGTGGCTGGCCCCTTGGAGAGCAGGTGGCCTGTGGGAGCCCGTGTGTGGCTGGCCCCTTGGAGAGCTGGGCCCTGGGCTGAAGGGGAGAGCTCTGGAGCAGGTGCCCGCGGACGGCCAGAGGTGAGATGGTCGGCCCTTCTCCTCTTGTACTGGCACCGAAGGGACGTACCAGATTCTCCTGGCTCTTTTCTCCCTGACTTTTTTCTTTTCTGAGGGCGACAGAAGCTCAGTTTCTGGTGTAATTTCTCTGGCCTGTGCCTTTTGGGAAAAGAGTATGTAGTGACTGCTAAAACCCTGTGTCTTGGGGTAGAGGTCCCTTTGGAGATTGGTGGAGGTGGCTGGGCTCAGCACTGTGGGCAGAGTAATGTTACTGGACCACGGTGGGCCTCACGGGGGTGACGCTGCCGGTTTGCCGCTTGTGTATATTTTACCTGGACACGTCCTAGGTCCTCTCTGACCCTCCCCGACACCCCCTGTCTCCTCAGGAACACCAAGCGGACAGCTGAGGTGTGGATGGATGAATACAAGCAGTACTATTATGCTTCCCGGCCGTTCGCCCTGGAGAGACCCTTTGGAAAGTAAGTGTCCCTCCTGCTTTATTTGTGCAAAGCGCCAAGAGCCCCAGCTCGCAGGTCTGGGTGCTCAGCTGGTCTCCCGAGCCCCCAGGCCCCTCCAGGGCCCAGGCTGGGGCTCTTCTCCCTTCGTGCGCCTCCTTGCTCCTGCCCAGTTCTGGCTGCAGGGCCTCGGACAGCTCTTGTGGGATGACCACTGGGCAGCCTGGGCCATCTACTCAGTGGCAGAGCTGTGCCTTGTGCAGTGGACTGGTGTTTCCAGCTTTTTATAGAAAGGTGGGGTGCTGGGCTAAGCAGCCCTGGTCCCTCCAGGTCGGAGTTCCTTCCTTCTCATCCTCAGCTGCCCAAGCCTCAATCTTCTGCCTTCCTAGGAGGAACGGTACCATGCGATCTCTAGAGCCGGGCTCCAGCTTCACGGGGGTCGAAGAGGACAGAGAGAGAAATTAAGGGCCAGATACCATTACATGAGATAGCCCATTAGTCCTCCGCAAACTGAGAAATGGGTATAATTACCCCTGTTTTACAGATGAGGAGACTGAGTCCTCTACAGGTTCAGGTACCTGGCCTGGATCACACCATTACAGGAGGGGGAGAAGGCTCAGATCACACCTGTCAGATTCCAAAACTCTGTGATGTTGCATTCCCCAACCCAGGGTTGATTTGAGTAGAGAAAAATGGCAACTTCATTGATGTTATCATTCGTCTTTTGCGGGGGGCAGCCGGTGGCTTTTGTCATCTAATGTCCCTCAGTCATTCTAAGGCTGTTGACAGATGGGATTTTTGCAGCCTGCTCTCCACAGGTCGAGCCCATCACTGCCCGGGAGGATTAAATCAGAGGCTGCTAAAGTGATTTGTGTTTCTGAAACCATAAACCCACACTGTCTCCACTTCTCCTACTCAGAGCCTCCCACGGCGTTTATTCTGAGTCCTCAGCCAACTTCCGGTCTTTTGGCCACGTGGGTCCACCCCTCCTTTCTTCATTGCCCTCCCCTCTCCAACTTGGGTTCCACCTTCTTGCTTAAAGAGAATGCTTAAAAGATGATGTCCTCAGATCTCTCGCTCTGTTGGGCATCTATCAACCCTCCCTGGTGAAGTTCTCTTAACCCTGGATGAACCCGACTTTGTACCGTTTCCTCCCCGGTTCATAGGCTGCTGAACGGTTCTGGGCCTATCAGGTGGTGCTGCTACCACTCCGTGGCCATCAGGCGCAGGGAGGCCCTTGGTGGACCTCTTGAGCCTGCCACCTTGCCTGGCCAGCCTTCTCCCTCAATCTCCATTTGTACCTTTTCCACTCTCCCCAGCTGCTGAGTCCACCCCACTCCTTTCACTCACAGAAGATGACACCTCTGTTCTGTAGATGAAATAGCACCAACTTCCCAAGACAGACGAACCTGTATCTGCACCATCCTTCTGTCTCTTTCATCTTGAAGGATAAGGTGTGCCTCCTGTTCTCCGGACACCCTCTTCCCCCCTGCATTCATTCATAAATGATCATTAATCGAGGTCCCACCGCCTGGATTCATCTCCTCCTGCCTGTCGGCTTCTCGCACTTTAATGTGCACACAGATCTCCCGGAGATCTTGTTAAAGTGTGGATTTTGGTTCGGTAGGTTTGTAGGTCTGTAAGCCCCACGTGGTGCCGGGCTGCTGGTCTGAGGACCTCAGCTGAAGGAGCGAGGTTTCAGGGCGATGGTGGCCAAACTGTCTGTACATCGCAGTCACCTGGGGAGCTTCAAAAACTCTGCTGCCTCTACTCCACCCCCAGAGAGTGGATTTCCCCTGGGCTGCGGCCTGGGCTGTAGAATTTGTAAAAGAACCATCCCCCCACCATCAGGTGATTCTGATGCACAGACAGTGTGGGAGCCCCCGTTCTAGGGGACTTTGCCCTCTTTCACTCCCCCTGATCACCCATCTCTCTTCTCTATTGCATGGTCCCCGTTGGCATTTAAATTTATTCAGTATCTTACATAGTTTTTAAAAACAAAAAAGGAAGAGAAGGAAAGAAAACAAACTATAAGAACTCTCCCTCAGGGGCTTCCCTGGTGGCACAGTGGTTGAGAGTCCGCCTGCCCATGCAGGGGACACAGGTTCGTGCCCCGGTCCGGGAAGATCCCACATGCCGTGGAGCGGCTGGGCCCGTGAGCCATGGCCGCTGAGCCTGCGCGTCCGGAGCCTGTGCTCCCGCAGCAGGAGAGGCCACAACAGTGAGAGACCCGCGTACCGC